TCAGCAAAATTTTATCTGCGTATGATATCGATGCTATTGTTCGATAATTTTCGCATTCTTTTGGGTCACCTTTCTTTGGAACAGGCACAAATATGGATCTCTTCCAGTCGGTTGGCCAGGTAGCTATCTTCTAAATTTCTTGGCATAGACGAAGGAGTGAGTGCTTCAGCGTTGCATCCATTTGTTGAAACACCTCAACTGGTATTCCCTGAATTCCTGGAGCTTTGTTTTTTGCCAATGCCTTCAATGCAGCTTGAACTTCTTCCTTCAATACCATCAACTCTTGATCATATGCTACTTCCTGAAATGGTTGAATGTACACCAATTATTTTTGGTACAGTGACTTTGTGTATTCCTTCCATCTTCTTTTGATGCTTCCTGCATCATTCAATATTTTGCTCATAGAATCCTTCATATTGAAATCAAGGCTTGAATTTTTTCTTCAGTTCTTTCAGCTTGAAAACTACCAAGTATGTTCTTCCCTTTCGGTTTTCTAACTCCAGATCTTTGCACATTTCATTATAAAACTTCACTTTGTTTTCTCAAGCTGCCCTTTGAAATCTTCTGTTCAGCTCTTTTACTTCATCATTTCTTCCTTTTGTTCTAGCTACTCGATGTTCTAGAGCAAGTTTCGGGGTCTCTCTGACATCCATTTTGGTCTTTTCTTTCTTTTCCATCTTTTTAATGACCTTTTGCTTTCTTCATGTATGATGTCCTTGACGTTATCCTACAACTTGTCTGGTCTTCAGTCATTAGTGTTCAATGTGTCAAATCTGTTCTTGAGATGGTCTCTAAATTCAGGTGGGATATACTCAAGGTCATACTTGGCTCTCATGGACTTGTTTAATTTTCCTTAGCTTCAACTTGAATTGCATATGAGCAATTGATGGTCCCTTCTGCAGCCGGCCCCTGGCCTTGTTCTGACTGATGATATTGAGCGTCTCCATTGTCTCGTTCCACGGATGTAGTTGATTTGATTCCTATGTATTCCATGTGGCAAGGTCTATGTGTGTAGTCACCTTTTATGTTGTTGAAAAACGTATTTATAATGAATAGGTCGTTAGTGTTGCAAAATTCTATCATGTGATCTCCTGTGTCGTTTCTATCACCAAGGCCATATTTTCCAACTACTGATCCTCCTTTGTTTCCAACTTTCATATTCCAATCATCAGTAATTATCAATGCATCTTGATTTTATGTTTGTTTAATTTCAGACTGCAGAAGTTGTTAAAAATTTTCAATTCCTTCATCTTTGGCATTAGTGATTAGTGAGTAAATTTGAATAATAGGCATATTAACTGGTCTTCTTTGTAGGCATATGAATGTTATCCTATCGCTGACAGCATTGTACTTCAGGATAGATCTTGAAATGTTCTTTCTGACAATGAATTCCTCTTCAATTTGTCATTCCCAGCATAGTATGCCATATGATTGTCCAATTCAAACGGCAAATACCAGTCCATTTCAGCTCACTAACGCCTAGGAGATGGATCTTCAAGTGTTCCATTTCATTTTTGACAACTTCCAATTTTCCCAGATTTATACTTTGTAATTCCAGGTTCTGATAATTAACCAATGTTTGCAGTTATTTCTTCTCATTTTGAGTCATGCCACATCAGCAAACGAAGGTCTGGTAAAGTATTATAATGATGTGTGCAAAGACCTGGAGATAGAAAACCAAAAGGGAAGAATACACTCAGTATTTCTCAAGCTTAAAGGACTGAAGAAAAAATTTAAGCCTCGAGTTGCAATACTGAAGGATTCTATGGGGGAAAATATTAAATGACGCAGGAAGCATCCAAAGAAGATGGAAGGAATACACAGAGTCACTATACCAAAAAGAATTGGTCGACGTTCAACCATTTCAGGAGGTAACATATGATCAGGAACCGATGGTACAGAAGGAAGAAGTCCAAGCTCCACTGAAGTCACTGACAAAAAACAAAGCTCTGGGAATTAACGGAATACCAATTGAGATGTTTCAACAAATGGATGCAGCACTGGATGTGTGCACTTGTCTATGCCAAGAAATCTGGAAGATAGCTACCTGGCCAACTGACTGGAAGGGATCCATATTTATGCTATTCCCAAGAAAGGTGATCCAACTGAATGTGCAAATTATTGAACAATATCATTAATATCGCATGCAAGCAAAATTTTGCTGAAGATCATTCAAAAGCGGCTGCAGCAGTATATTAACAGGGAACTGCCAGAAATTCAAGTCGGATTTAGAAGAGGATGCGGAACCAGCGATATCACTGCTGATGTCAGATGGATCCTGGCTGAAAGCAGAGAATACCAGAAAGATGTTTACCTGTGTTTTATTGACTATGCTAAGGCATTCGACTGTGTGGACCATAACAGATTATGGATAACATTTCGAAGAATGGGAACTCCAGAACACTTAATTGTGCTCATGAGGAATCTGTACATGGATCAAGAGGCAGTCGTTCGAACAGAACAAGGGGATACTGCCTGGTTTAAAGTCAGGAAAGGTGTGAGTCAGGGCTGTAGCCTTTCACCACACCTATTCAATCTGTATGCTGAGCAAATAATCTGAGAAGCTGGACTATATGAAGAAGAATGCAGCATCAGGATTGGAGGAAAACTCATTAACAATTTGTGTTATGCAGTTGACACAACGTTGCTTGCTGAAAGTGAAGAGGACTTGAAGCACTTACTGATGAAGATCAAAGACCACAGCCTTCAGTATGGATAACACCACAACATAAAGAAAACAAAAATCCTCACAACTGGACCAATAAGTAACATCATGATAAGCAGAGAAAAGACTGAGGTTGTCAAGGATTTCATTTTACTTGGATCCACAATCAGCGCCCATGGAAGCAGCAGTCAAGAAATCAAAAGACGAATTGCACTGGGAAAATCGGCTGCAAAAGACCTCTTTATAGTGTTGAAAAGCAAAGATTTCACCTTGAGGACTAAGGTGTGCCTGACCCAAGTCATGGTATTTTCAATCACCTCATATGCATGCGAAAGCTGGACAAATGAATAAGTAAGACCAAAGAACTGACACCTTTGAATTGTGGTGTTGGTGAAGAATATTGAATATACAATGGAATGCCAAAAGAACGAACAAATCTATCTTGGAAGAAGCACAACCAGAATGCTCCTTAGAAGCAAGGATGGTGAGACTATGTCTCACATACCTTGGATATGTTATCAGGAGGGATCAGTCCCTGGAGAAGGACATCATGCTTGGTAAAGTAGAAGGTCATCGAAAAAGAGGAAGACCCTCAGCGAGATGGATTGACACACTCGCTGCAACAACGGGCTCAAGCATAGCAACAATTAGGAGGACAGAGTAGGACTGGGCAGTGTTTCATTCTGTTGTGTATTAGGGTCACTATGAGTCAGAATCAACTTGACGGCACCTAACAACAATAACAAGAGAGACCCACATAGTGAGAAACTAAGGCTTGCCAGTACCATGTGAATAGGCTCCCCTTCCCCCAGCTGAACTTTTAGATGAGACTGCTCCAGCCAACACTTAGATTGGTGCCTTGTAAGAGACTTGAACTAGAGACACTTAGCTAAACTGTGCCTGGATTCCTGACCCACAGAGACTGTGAGACAATAAATTTTTGCTGCTCTAAGTTTTGGGCAATTTGTTACACAGCAATAGATAACTAATACAAATGCCTTCTAGGCAGTGGGACTGGAACTGTGATGAGTAGAGAGTAGCCTGAGAGACAGAGGTTTACGTCTGCAGAGAAGCCCAGGGAGGATAGGGGAGCCCAGGGAATCATTGCCTCTGCCAAGGGATGATGGATGTCTGTGGCACTATCTTCATGTAGGGGGAAGGGAGACAGGCATGACATATGCCCAAGGCTCTGCTCCCTACTACCAAGAATGTAGTTTTCCATGATTCCTTGCGTACTCTTTCTTTTTGAACATTTTATTGTGGTTTAGGTGAAAGTTTACAGAGCAAATTGGTTTCCCAATCAAAAACTTACACACATCTTGTGTACTAATTCTGAAACTTGGCTTCACTGTCGGATGCTATTCACTTTCACTGGGATATATACATAATCACAAATAAGGATAACAGGCTTTTTAAGCTTAGTGTATGAGCTTTTTCTATATTCACTCAAATTCATGAGGCCTCTATGTTAGAAGGTACAAGGTGAGGCAAGGTCATTTCTTTCTAACTTAATTCTGATTTTAATAAATCATCCATTAGGACATACAGTGAAACCTGTGAGAGCTGGAATTTGATGGCACCGCCTTGTTTCTCCAGGTCTCCCACGATTTCCACCTTTGACAGCATGCAGTCTTACCACTTTTATATCGCTTGTTTTTGTGGAAAATACTTTATAATTTTCCTTCTCTGACGTGTTTCTGCCTTACACAGGTTCCAGCTTTAGCAAGTTTTACTGTATTACATGAAGAATATTTCAAGCAAGTTTTATTATTTTTATGTTTTATTTTGTTTACACTGGATGCCAAAATCATCTTTACAATAAAGTACATATGACATTCTAAAAACTAAAGCGATGGGCTGCTAACCAAAATGTGGGCGGTTCGAAACCACTAGTGGCTCTGTAGGAGAAAGACGTGGCAGTCTGCTTCCATTAAGATTTACAGCCTTGGAAACCCTACGGGGTCACTATGAGTCAGAACGATTTGATGGCAGTGAGTTTGGTGGTTTTTTTTTTGGTTGGATCTGAACTGTATAAACTGATACACATTAAAATCTTTCCTTTGAGGAAAAAAAAAAAGCAGCTTCAAATCTAGGACCCTGAAAAAAACTGTCATAGTGTAAAGCATTAGAACTTGCTAGAAGCAACCCAGAATATACTTCATTAAAGTCCAGATTCTGCCATTAACTTCTTATGCAAAACTTCCACTGAAATTAGTAGAGCAGATGTGAACAAAGCTAAGAAAATTTTGCCTTTACAGTCATCTCACCTGAGTGAAGAAAAAAAAATTTTTTTTATAGTATTTCCTTTGGGCTATAAAATGGCTATTTTACTTACCATTTGGAAGCCTCAGGAGAATATAAGTTCTCATCAGTAACAGGAGTCGTTAACACATGTTGGTTTACAACACTTAAATACTTCTCAATGTGAATCTGTTACAGAAAAGTCAAAGTTTAGACCATTATAGTGGACTTAAGATACTCAGCTAATTTACTTCATCTCATTAGGTTAACACTTTGAATCGTGTAATTAAGCCAAAAGACACAACATGCTATGTGTTTATTACATGCCTAAGGTATCATTAGGCATCTGCAGGCCAAATTACTTTAACTATCCCAAAAACGCATAATAAACAACTGCGACTCAAAGCTTGGGTGACCTGTAGCACTCTTCACAAATGAAACTGTGTACGCACAATAGTCAGTAAATTGCTTAGCCAGGTAAATTTACTAGGCAATACGGACATGGAGTAATGTCTTTCTCTTACAGAGACTTCATGCAACATCAGAGTAAAGAATTTGGCCTTTAGGTAACAGAGTCTTTAAAATGGCTAATCCAAAGACTCCAGCTGGGTCCAGCCCTCTCACCATTAGGTAATATAGGACACAAAATACCCTGCATTTCTCACAGCCTCAGAGATGAAGCCGATAACATGGTAGACTGAAATTCTGAAGCAAGAGCAAAGACACTGACAATAAAAGGCCTAGTAGGTGGAGATGGACCTTCTTTGGAAGACGGACCCCATTATCTAATGCATTCTTATTTAATAAAATTATTATCCAGGTCTTAGAACTGGATTCTCCAACAGCCTTTAGATTCATCATGACAAAGTCCCTATCTACTTTATTTCTCTGTTCCAGAATTGCTGTCTTTTACCTACATGATTACAATATTATAAAAATAAACAATTTTGAAATATTTAAGCTACTAGGGAAAAGTCAATTCTTATATTTTTAAAATCACATTTTAGGGATTGTCATTACAATAATTTTACATAATCAACATGTCCTTAAATTCTTTGTGGGACAGGATGAAGTATAGATCACTCAATCAGTTAATAATCATCATTACATTAATAAAGGGACAGAATGAAAATGCTGATGACCACCCCAAGTCTACCTCTGTTACAGAATTACAAAGGTCCTATGAGAACCACAATTCTTTTCTTTTAGAGGAAACTTTGTCTTCTTCCAGAATTTTATTTCATATCTAACGTTCTACTTACTCTTAACCCCATTTCCGTCCTTTCAATCGCTGTTTCAAGATTCTGAATGTCTGGAGTCTTTCCTTCTCCCTCAGGTGGGAATTGTGTTAATTTATTCTTTAACTGATAAAGATCTTTATGGACCTGTAGTCATAAAAAACATAAAATATTGAAAGAATGCATATATAGCCCACTGACAACATTTATTTAAAAGGTTTGCAATGTACTTGAACTACTAGACAATAAAGTTGGTTTTATGACATTCATTGAAAAGGACTACCTTTATTGTTCTAAGGCATTCTTAATTTATAATGTTCCATTCTGTCTCTCAGAATTTTGAAAACTAAGCTGCCATAGAATTTTCTCTTTTTCTTTCCCCCGTTAGAAGTAAATCCAAGATAAAACTGCAACTCAAATGGCTGCTGCTTTCTCAAGTGGTAAAGCGGTTGAGCCAGAGGTGAGAAGTCTGTGCTGGATTCCAATCTCTAAAAATTGGTCAAGAGGTAAGAAAACAGAAAACTTCCAGCAAAGAGAAGATCTAGTGGAAGTAGCGCTTTTCAAAAGAGTATATATGTCAATGGGACCCGTTGGTCTTCTACGCTACCTGGATCTTGCCCACTTACTCTTGTGAAGAATTAGTGTTCTAGGTGCAGTGGTCTTATTTTTGTTTTGTGTAGTTAGAAATGACAATGATCCACGAAGAAAAACCAACATATGTTATTACTTTAACATTTTCCTTCAATTAGTATTTTCCTTGGAAATGATGAACATCTTCTCTCCAATGTCAAGCACCCTCAGAATAAAATGGGCACTATGAAATTGGACAGCACAAGATTCTTTGCATTCATATTAGAAACCAAACCTCAACAGATAAATACAGATGGCACCAATTATTGTATGGGCTGCTGCCACGAGAAAAACATTTTGTTTTGCAAATTTATGAACCCAACACCTGTTTCAGCAATAGTCATACCAATAACAATCTGCAGACTGGGTTGCTAAAGGCATTTTGAAATGGTTACCTTTTCTCTATTAGTATAACTGGACTCACACATCGACCTGGCCTATGTTATTGATTACTCTCGAATGTTGCCCCACAGAGCCAAGTATTCAAAAGATCAGAATATGCATCTTTTCACTGATGGGCATCACAGACTGGCAGACACAGCTGGTCATTTGTACTCTGTACTAATTGTCACGTAAAGCCTTGAGGGCTCACAGATTGAAATCTGAATACACCGTACTGCCTCCTTGTAGGCACTAAGGATGAAGATGTACTTCTTTCAATTGTTTTGTCCAAATTACTGCTGCAAACAGATTTACCAAGTATCGTCTAAAGACATTTGGAAGGTACAAAGAGGCAGTTCCAGGGTAAGCACCACTTGGAGGCCCATATACTTTTGGTTCCTCCTCTGAATGTACTGAATTTCCCTTCCCTAGTATTTGTAGCTCTGTGTGTCATTCTGTAATTACGCCTGTCAGCTGTTAGCGGAGTGAAAACTGCCCTGGAATACTCATCAGGGAACCAAAGGTTTGGTTTCTTCATTTGTCTTGTGTGGACAATAATACTTCTTTACAGAGTTTTGAGACAATATATGATAGGCCTGGTACATACGAAGAACTCAAAAAAAGGCAGCTGAAGATAATTTCTACGTTTACAACTTACTAGTCACATGATCTCCATGTATGCCATCCAAATGTTCTGAGCCTCTAGTTTCCTTATCAAGGAAAAAAAAAATGACCCTACCTCTTAGAATTGTTGAATGAAAATGAGGTAATACGTGAGAAAATGAATAAATATAGGCTTTGGAGCCAGACAGACACGAACTGGAATCCTGTTTCCTTTGTTACTAAAATAGGGATAATTAATAGCTACCGCTCAGAATGGTGGTGTGAATAAAATGAGTTAAGGTATGTAAAGTGTTTTGCACAGTGCCAGCCTCATAGGAGGGCACCCCAAAATGCTATTTCTCCTCTACTAAATTGTAAAACCCAGTGATGCTCCTTCTATATAACTGGTACTTGGTAAAATGTTCATTGAATTGAATTGCTCCCTTAATCTTTCTGAAAAGCTTTTTACTTTACTTGCCGGATATTTCCTTATCCCCTCTTAATAGCCACCCATCTGTCTGTATAATTGCAATAGCGGCAAGTACTGTAGGAAATGTTTCACCAGACTTGGGTAGGAAAAAGACATTGTTAAATTCTAAATCTGTTCTTTCTTCAAATAGATACAATCTACCATGTTGAAATTTGCATGTCACCTATCCTCTCTGTGATCATCAAACACGTTATTTTCCATACACTTCCTACTTTGAAGAAGATTATCACTTAGACAATTTGGGGACAGGTTGCTGAAGCTCTCAGCACAGTGCCCAACTCTCAAGAAATGCTGGCTACTATTTTATTTATAGTGATGATTATTATAGAAACCCTGGTGGCGTAGTGATTAAGAGTTCGGCTGCTAACCAAAAGGTCAGCAGTTCGAATCCACCAGGCACTCCTGGAAACCCTATGGGGCAGTTCTACTCTGTCCTATAGGGTTGCTATGAGTCAGAATCGACAGCAGTAGGTTTGTTTGTTTTTTATTATCACTATAGAAAAACCTCACTATTCTGGTTAGTTGAGGAAAGATCTAGATAAAATTATAAAAAGCCTGAATTACAGGCTCGAGAGACTTGAAAGTGATAAAAAATTAAGTAGTTAACAAAATGCTGCCTAGTAGAACTCTATGTAGAAATGGCAATCATAGTTCCTGAATTATAAATGAAAACATGTAGTACTTTGATACATGATCTGACAGTGGAACAGAATATTCACCATCAGAACTATCCCAGAAATCCAAACATATAAGGAATATGTTTTCAAAATAAGTCACACAAAGAGTTTCTTATTTGTACACTATTTGTATTTAGAGATTTTCTCTTTGGTATTTTAGACATTTTCTTAAAGTATTGCTTTTACTATCAATATGCACCATCAATAAAAAAAGGGTTTTCTAAATAATGGTAGATGTTAGTCCAGTTCCATTCATTTTTTAACAGAACAGAAATTATTGGAGACTGAAATAATGAGCAGATCATTATCCAGTCATCTAATGTCTATGGGCCCAATCCTGTGCTAGGGATAATGGCATACCCAAAATCCAGCTTGTAACTAACAGGGAAACAAGGCATACCTTGTTTGCCAAATAGTAACATCCATAAATAGAGTTCCAATCAAGAATGGAGTAATTCTGGTTAAAAAGACAGGTTAAAATAAATTCTTCCTCATCTTCTAGGGACTTAGAGTAAAAAGCAGTCTAAACTTAAAAAGACACAGAAATGTACATAAACAAAACTAAATACAAAACGGCAAGAGATCAGATCTAATAATAACTAACATTTATGTGTTTAATATTTATGCATGTTATACTTTATGCACCACCCTATGTTTTAATCCTTACAAGACTCCTATGAGGAAGTTAATATTATTATCTCCATTTAATACATGAGGGAATCTGAGGTTTAAAGAGGTTAAGTAACCCATGCAAGGTAACACAGCTGGTTAATTGGCGGAACTATTCAAATCCAGGCAGTTTGACTCCAGAGCCTTCATGCTTAACCATTATGCTATCTCTCAGAATAAAGATGTATTATATTAATAAGCATTTTATATACAAAGTTAAGGAGCCCTGGTGTCACAATGGTTAAGCGGTTGGCTGCTACCCAAAAGGTTGGCGGTTTGAATTCACCAGCCTTGGAAATTCTATGAGGCTTTTCTACTCTGTCATACAGGGTCACTATTAGTCGGATCTACTTGATGGCCCCAACAAAAACATATACAAAGTTAAACCCAAACCAAACACACCACCGTCAAGTTGATTCCGACTCATGGCGACCACATAGGGTTTCCAAGGCTGTCAATCTCTACAGATGGAGACTGCCACATCTTTCTCCTGTGGAGCTGCTAGTGGTTTCCAACTGCTGACCTATCAGTTAGCAGTCGATGGCTTTAACCACTGCGCCAACAGGGCTTCTTAGCAAAGTGAAAGGTTGGTGAAAATTCAGTGGAAGAGGCAGGCTGTCACAATCTAGAGTAGTGAAAAGGGTCAAGGGAAGACTTTATATACCAAGAATGATGGATTTAAAAGGTTTGAGAAGAATGCTTGTATTTTTTATGCATATGGGGCTACCCATATTACTCATGAAGGGCAAGGTAGCGTAGTGGAGCCTTCTGCCTGGGGTCAATCTCCACCATTTATTAGCTGTGTTACCTTGAACAAGTAGCTTAACATCTCTGGTCAGTTCCCTTACCATAACATGGGAATGATAATAATAGCACATAGCTGATAGCATTGTTGTAAGGGTTCAACGAGTTAAAATACAGTATTTACAGCACGTAGGACAGTGCATGATACATGGTGTCTTAGTCATCTAGTGCTGCTACAACAGAAATACCACAAGTGGATGGTTTTAACAAAGAGAAGTTTATTTCCTTGCAGTAAAGTAGGCTAAAAGTCCAAATTCAGGGTGTCAGCTCCAGGGGAAGGCTTTCTCTCTCTCTCTTGGCCTTCTCACCAGTGTTCCCCCAGACTAGGAGCTTCTCGGCGCAGGGACCCCAGTCCAAAGGACGCGGTCTGCTCCCGGCACTGCTTTCTTGATGGTATGAGGTCCCCCTGTCTCACTGCTCACTTCTGTCTTTTATATTTCAAGAGACTGCCTCAGGACACAATCCAGTCTTGTAGATCAGGTCCTGCCTTACTAACTCAACTGCCACCCATCCTCCCTCATTAACATCATAGAGGCAGGTTTACAACATACAGGAAAATCACACAGTACCAGGAATCATGGCCTAGCCAAATTGATACACATTTTTTGGGGGACATAATTCAAACCACGGTAAGTACTTTGTTAGCTTTACTGCAATTTTTCTTTGAAATTATATTACAGTTTATATTTTATAATACCATCTAAAGTAGTAGTTCCCAAACTTGAGTGTGCATCAGAATTACCTGAAGGGCATCTCCAAACAGATTATTGGGTCCTACCCCCAGAGCTTCTGATTCAATAGGTCTAGGGTTGGGCCCGAGAATCTGCATTTCTCACAAGTTTCTAGGTGGCGCTGATGATGCTGGTGCTGGAACCACATCTGGAGACCCACTGGGCTAAAGAGTTGCTTAACTGAGACACAGACCTAATAAACCATATTAGGGTGAAGCACGTGGAGATTTAAACTACTTCTGATTTACTGTCAATTACTTGTATACATAAAGAGCGCTGGTGGGACAAGAGTTAAGTGCTTGGCTGCTAACCAAAAGTCGGTGGTTCAAACCCACCCAGTGGCTCCACAGGAGAAAAGATTTGGCAGTCTGCTCCCACAAAGATTACAGCCTAGGAAACCCAATGGGCAGTTCTACTCTGTCATATAGGGTCGCTATGAGTCGGAATGGACTCAATGGCATACAGCAACTTGTATGTATACAATTGCCAGAAACAATTTGACTGCCTAGGTTAAAAGTAAAAGTGTCCATTTTACAGCTGTGTGGAAATTGGGTCAATTTAGAATCAGAAATGAGTCTAATCCAAGCTATGTATCCTACAGAAAAGGAAATTGAGGCCCACAGAGCTGAACTGACTAGCCCAAAGTTACCGACCTGGGGGAAATACCAGAGCCAGGGAACAGACCTTAATATTCTGACTCCCAACCCAGTGCGCCTTCCGCTAGACTTACTACTGCTTATTGGCAGTCTGCTTGAAGGAAAGCAATCACAGCCCAAGAAGAGGTGAAATCTGCCCTTTCTGAGAGGGGTGCTGCATGCTCACAAAAACTCAGGACTCTTTGGAAAGGTAGGGAAAAGTCTTCCAAATTTTCTAGTTATACACATTCTACATATTACCAGAGAGAATTCTACATTGTATGCAGAGATCAGCCTCAATTAGTCAGGCTAACATGTAGGCTCTCTTTCTCTACACAGGCTTCCATGTTGCATGTCCTGAGTAACCCTTTTATGTAAGTGGGGGCACAGATCAGCATGGATGTGACTATTCTCACCGCTTCTGTTGCATTGTACAATTCAGTGTCAACAGACATTGATTACTGTAATGTATCCTGGGCTGACCAAACAGCTCCCTCTGGATTCCATTCTGAAGTGAAAAGGCTCTGGCTTTTCAGCTAAAACACTCTTGTACATAATACCAAGCCACAAGGGGAGCTGCCCTGGGAAATAAGAGTTATCTCAAGGGAAGTTGTGAAATTGGTCTCCAGGAGGCTCTGGAAGATTCTCCTCAGATTCTTGTCTCTTTTTTAGAGATGTTCCAGGCCTGGAGAAATAGAGGAAACTAAAGAAAAACTTAATGGTTTCTGTAGTCCCATGAAGTATACTTCATGGGGAAGATCTGGCTGTTTCTGGACAGGAGTCTCCATTAGTGTTTCAATTGTTTGGGGTCTGTAAAAATGGGCCCCGGGTTTGTCGGGGATGATGGGTGAAAGAGAAGACGGTAAGAGTGAGGTAAGACAATTTGGGCATGATTCACAATCAGGAAGTCTACGAAATGGTTGAGTCTCGGGGTTGTGCTTAGGAAAAAGAGAATTTAGGAAAGTTTCTCCCATATGGGAGGTAAGACACCAAAATCCTGGCTGAAAGAACAAATAGACCCGTTGAGGATCTGAGAATCCTGATAGAGTAACCATAGGCAAATCACTTCAAGGATTAGTCAAACGGAGCTAAATCTAAGAGTTAAAAGTTGTTATTTGTGTGGAGACATTTTTAGAGCTGTGATATGTAAATGTGAAAAACAAACAAACAAATAAAATGCCTTAACCACTTCAGAAAATTCTGAGATCTGACGTCACGGCTTCAAATTTTTCAGAACATAGTATTTTTAAATGGCGCCTCAGTGCAAGATGGATTTTTCCGAAGTAAAATTTCCGGGTGAGGCGATCCCCAGTGTACGGCCTTGGGGTTTTACCAGGCGCATAGCTTGTGGAGCGCAACCTCCAGAGTATGGCACGGGGGTGAGGGGTGGTATCGGGCTTCTGGACGAGGTACGGGTGAGGCATATTTGAGAGTTCTCTGAGGGGGTGAGCCCCTTGAGTGTTGGAGGCCATCGCGGGGGCGGCGCCCCAAGTGGGTGAGCGCGAGCAAAGCTGCGCTGCTGGGCCTCGCTCTGAAGTGTCTCAGCTGGGAGGGGTCGGGAGAGGCCCGTTTCCCACCTGGATTAAGATGGATCCAATGGGGTCGTACTTTTCAGCCTCCTGTGCCATGGTCAGGGCCGGAGAGGGTAACCTCTCCCCGGGAAGCGCCATCTCCAGATGAGGAAACCTTCGATCAGGAGCGTGTGTCCCCATGGCAACACTACGCGCGGCACGGCCTATTCTACAGCGGGAGCGGAAGAGGGGGGAGAGGAAGGAGTCGGGAGAGCCGGTCCGTTCCGAGATCGCACTCTTCCTTGAATGTCTCCCCCGCGGGGCGGCGGCTGTGGTACAGCCCAAGGCGGAAGCGGCTCCTAGACGGAACCGGCTCGAGAACGCAGCCATGGCTGCGGGCGTGCCCTGTGCGCTGGTCGCCAGCTGCTCCTCCACCTTCACCGGGGACCGTCTGGTCCAACGTGAGTAGCGAGGCGGCTGGGCGGACGTCCAACCCCCCGAGCCTCGGTGGGTGACAGGACCAGGGCCTCTACCTGGACCTTGTCCCCGCCTGGGGTCCTGGGCTCTTCTTCCAGTCGGCAGTGGCCTGAGGCTCTCCAGGTTCTTCTTCTCAGACTCGGTCGAGGTCCTTACCCACTCCTCCAGGCATCTGCCCTGTAACTCTTACACTCTTTGCTTTTCTACCCGCCTGGTTCACTACTGTGTTACTTGCAGCTTCTTCTGTAAAGTGGGACTGATCTCTGCCCAGCCTAGCCCACCCCACCCCACCCCACCCCACCGGGTATTGCTAGGATCCAGTGAGATAAAGACCCGAAAAGGTGCTCTGGAAACCGTATTGAGTTACACGAGTGTAAGGTGCAGGATTTATTGATACAGTTGTGATTTTTACTGCTGCCCTTTCTCCTGAGGTAGAGAGTTTCCTTTTGCTTTTGTGTGTGCTCAATTACTAGGCTAACCCTTGATACAGGTAAGACTTGTTCTTGTACCCTTTCTTTGTGGTTATTCACTGCTTTGCCTTCTGAAGCAGAGGTTCTCCACCAGCATTAGTTTTGGGCTGTTACTGAGCCCAGTCCGTTTGCCTCTGGACCATCATACTGGCTGTCAAATTAAGTAACCCTGAAATCCTAAGTGAGGAGACCATACTATTAGAGAGAGCACAGGATGGAGCATAGGGTCAACTTTGCTGCTAAAGGGCTCCGTGAAGTTGACTATAACTCAAGACACCTTTTTTACATCCATGGCTTGGAGTCAGCAGTGACTCTTAGCTGTATGATTGTGGATAGGTCGTTTAATCTCTGCCCTTAAATTTTCTCATGTATAAAATGGGCACAATTAATCCATCATTCACAAGATTGCTGTGTTTAACTTAGACCTGGGTTCAGTTTCCTGCCAGTGCACCTCTAGTGCAGCCACCACCCATCTATCGTGGAGGCTTACAAGTTACTGTGATGCTGAATAGGTTTCAGCAGAGCTTCCAGACTAAGACAGACTAGGAAGAAAGGCTTGGCAGACTAGGAAGAAAGGCTTGGCAATCTACTTTTAAAAATCAGCCAATGAAAACCCTAAGAATCATAGCAGTCTGACCCTGTTGTACCTGGGGGCTCGATGGCACCTAACAACAACAGCATTATTATTAAAGCATATTATCTTGCTGACCCTCAGTTTTCTAAACCTTAAAATGAACTTATCTGGCAGGGTTATTTGAAGGAGAGGTGATGTGACATTTGTGAAGGCATTTTGTAAGCTGTATAAGGCATCCTACAATTAAAATTTTTTTTTTTTTTTTTGCACCTGCCAAATGTCAGAATTAGGCAGATGTCCCTCCAGCACAGATATTCCTATGACTTAGTTATCATTTGTGATCACTTAGAATGTTCCTTGCTAGGGTAAAAATTTAATTATAGCACTTACTAAATGGTAACTAACTGCTCAAATTACACAATTTCCATACCTCTTAGAAGTGCTCCGTCCTGTGTTTTTTTTAACTTAATGTTTCATTGTAAAAGTAGTGCATTCGCATTACGTACAATTTAGCATATGGAGAAGAGAAAATGTCACTCATAGTCTTATCACCCAAACACAAATACTGCTAACATTTCAGTGCATTTCCTTCCAGTCTTTTTTCTAATGCATACTTGTTTTTAAATAATTTGAGTTACATTTCATATATAATTTTTATCCTGACTTTTTCACTTCATAAAATTAATTTCCATCACAAATTACATCTATCGTACTTTCCGGAGTTTGGTCAAGATTCTTCAGATTCTTGGTATCTTTAAATTTCCAAAAGACTTATATCCCTTTGAAGTCTCATCACTGAAATAGGAAAGTCTTTTCGGCCCGCCTCAGAAATATTTGCCAAATATTCTGATGGCCATGGTGCTGCATATATCATGTGCTTTAAGGAGCAAAATTTTTTATTTCTTTTTGCTACTCAAAGGCTTTATTTACAGTATTCTGGGTGGATATCTGCCATCAGATAAAAGGGACATTATTGATTTACAGTGTAGGCTTTTAAAGGGCAATGAAGGCTCAGGAGCTTGAGGAATTTACAAGGCTATCTGTGACGTGAGAGTAAGTCTGTGTACGCCAGGGCTGGAACTCTTTCATATGATTTTAACTTTTTACTTTTATTCTGGAAAAGTGTATTCTGACAAATATTTATTAAGCACAGAGCTAGTCTCTTTGCCAGTTACTGTAACTACAGTGATGGCTAAGATACTATTCCTGCCCTCAAGAAGGATGTCGTGAAAATAGGTATATGCTCTACTTGTGAAGGTGGTAAAATGTAGATACCTAAATTTTTAACATCTTGCTCTGCTTCCCTAGAAGGAACTTTAGATGGAAAAGTTCCTGGAGACTTGTTTAAAGTATATAATGCCAACTCAGCAACTATAAGCCATTCAGTTTCAACTTCTAAACATTGGGAGCAAAATTTGTTGTTTTAGTGAAATGTGGGTATTTGAAGATGTTATAATCATAGCAAGCATTTATATGTATATCTTTTTTTTTACTCTTCCCAAACGTGTTTTTACATCATTTAATTTGGTCCTTGTATCCCTATGAAGGGAGCCCTGGTGGCGCAGTGGTTAAGAGCTCGGCTGCTAACCAAAAGATCAGCAGTTCGAATCCACCAGCTGCTCCTTGGAAACACTATGGGGCAGTTCTGCTCTATCCTATAGGGTTGCTACCAGTCGGAATTGACTCAGTGGCAATGGGTTTGGTTTGTTTTTTTAATCTCTATGAAGGTAGGTTATTTCCATATTACAGATGACAAAATTGTAGCTTGGAAATACTAGATGACTTGCCAAAGTGCTCAGCTAGTAAGCACTGGTGCTAATGTTCATTTTCAGGATTTGTATGTATGTGAATGAAATGTATTTGGGATCCCTTAGCAATCAGAACTTTAAGATGGTGGCATTGGTGTAAGAAAATGATAGAGAAGATTAACTCCTAAAAGGAGGTTTTGAAATATGCTCACATTTCCATTTCAGAATGGTTAATATCTTAATTTTGAATGGAGGGGAGAGGAAAGCTCTGCTTAGAAGACTTAGCTTTAAAAAGATCATTATACATGCTTGATAGTCGGCAGTGTCTGGATTGTTATTTTCTCAAGTGAATGAACTCAAAGTAGAGACAGTATATATTAGTCCCTCCTATTGATTTTTAACTTCCAACATTTTAACTCTTCAAGAAGCGAAGAAAAAAAATACCTCAGATGGTAAAAACAAAATGTTGTTCCAGATCATCTCTAACATCCCCTCTAGATCTATAATTCTGTGGTATAATGTTAATTACTTAATTTTGTGTTGAATCCATAATGCGTCTTCACATGATGTGGCATTATTAATTTTTTTTCAGGGTTTATTTTTTGAAAATTGAAGAATCAAGCCTCAATTTAAAATTGCAGTAGACACGTCACTTGTGGAGTGGAGAATTTGCCTTTTTGTGTTTGAAATTCAGATGCATTTACCCATAGAAGCAATCCTCTGGTGATCAGGTTTCTAAAACTGTGGAACTAGATAGCTCAATTTTATGATGGGTAAAATATGCTTAAGGAACCCTGGGGGTGCAGTGGTGAAGGTGCTTGGCCGCTAACTGAAAGGTCAGCGGTTCGAACTCACTAGCAGCTCTGAAGGAGAAAGATGTGGCAGTCTGCTTCCGTAAAGATGTACAGCCTTGGAAACCCTATGGGGCAGTTTTGCAGTGCCCTACAGGGTCACTATGAGTCAGAATCTACTTGACGGCATGGGTTTGGTTTTGGATGTTTAAAGTAGGCTTTGGGGAATTACACAGGCAAAGCCAACCATTATTTATGCCCCTGTTTCTTTGGGAAAAACACTTTCTTTTGCAAGACTGGGGGCTTTGTTCTTAGATCTATCAGGCTCTTAGAAAGGGAGTTTAAAGTATTTTAGTAAGAGAACATTTTTATTTCAAAGGTTGCTGCTGCTCTTGTTAGCTGCTGTTGAGTCGGCCCCAGATGCATAGCAACCCCATGCACAACGGGATTGGACCGTTGTGATCTGTAGTGGTTTCACTGGCCGATTTTTCAGAAGCAGATCACCAGGCCTTTCTTCCCAGTCTGGAAGCTGCGCTGAAACCTATTTAGCATCACAGCAAAACGCAAGCCTCCACTGATAGATGAGTGATAGCTGTGCCTGAGGTGAATTGGCTGGGAATCGAACCCAGGTCTCCCACATGGAAGGCAAGAACTCTACCATTGAACCACCGCTGCCCCCACTTTAAAGGTAGGGCTGTAATACAGCTTAGCCAACATACGTTAGCAACAGAATAGGGATAAGAGCTTGGTCTTCTAATTTGCATTTTTCTGTAGCTGCTTGAGGTATTCTGAGTGGAGCCTTTAGTTTATTTACTGTGGGCATAAGTAATAATTTTTGCTGAAGCAAAGTTGCTTATTTTGTTGTGGTAGGAGGACTCTGCCTTTGATTGGATTGTGTATTTCCAAGTCTTTATTTTCTTCAAAGGGTGAAAGATTGGGCTAGCAAGATTTACCACGTGGGCCTGCAGTTGTCGTCACAGAGTGATTCAGTAGATGGTCAGACTAAAGCAGTGATTTCAGCTGATAGTAGGGGTGGGAAGCTAACTTTGATTTCTGTTTAGCTAAGATATGTAATATCTTTTTAAGTTTTCAATTAACATTTAAAGGGGACCTAAGATTTTATGTTCATTGAAAAAGGAATGTTGAGTCATCAACCTAATGTGGAGAGAAAGCTTAAATAAAAGTTCATATATTTCTGTAAACCTAAGGGGATTTACAAAGTCTATGTTATGTTCCAGGGCGTGTGTGTGTGTGTGTGTGTGTGTGTGTGTGTGTGTGTGTGTGTGTGTGAGAGAGAGAGAGAGAAATTAAAGCTCAGACAAGTTGTGATTTTACAAGGTTTTTTAGCTCATAAAAGTCGGAGAGCCAAGATTCAGTTCGAGTTCTTCTGTATATGTGAAT